TTCTGGTTTCAAATCAACAATATTTGTGCTTAATTGGGTAGTGAGAACAATATCTTTTAAATCGACTGATATCATCATACTGTGCTGGCTTCAAATCTTACAACTATTAATCGATTATTGCGAATAAACTGTATACACGCTTTACTGTGATAACATACAAGGATTCGTGGTCACTATTCAATAGAAACTTTTGGTATTTATTGTGTGGTGCTATTATTATCAGTAGTCAGACTAAAAGGACATTAACAATCGAATTGAGTGTATAGGCAGTAAGAAGTGATAAATCAAAACTGAGTCTAGACAAGTCAAGGATACCTAAACAAAGTGATAGCTCAAAGAAATTTATACCGAAAAAAAACAAAGAAAAACAATGAACGACCCTTTTGCGGAGAGAATCACACGAACCCGGGCCGACAAAGGGCAGACGGTTTCAGGCAGAATGGTTGAGACCAGGAGTCAAAAGTCGTAAGAAGAGCAAAAGGCAATGCTAGAAGTGGAGGTCCATCCGGACCAGGCCATGGATGAGAACCAGGAAATATATGGACCGGAGGGGAGAGGAAACAGAAGGCTGGCGAGTGAATCTACTCCGGTAGAACAAGGCCAAGATTTTGCTACTTCCACCGGGACACTGGACCGAGAGGAGATGTCGGAACTGTCCGACATCTCTACTGAAATTGTAGCAACTAGAAGATCTCCCACAGACAACACCATGATGGCAGGCGTTACGGAGAAATAGGCAACATCTTCATCGTTTTCTAAAAGAGTGAAAAACACTTTCGGAAACATCTTTCTATTTACCATGGGAGCGGGTACACGATATGAAGGTGAATCCCAGTTTAGAAGAAGAGGACGATGACCAGCAAGTTGACTTTGGTTCTCGAGTCAGCCTCAATAGTTCGACTCAGGAGAATGAAGCATATACCGACAGAGTGACTGGCACCATGGACCAATTTGGTGTATTGAGGACAATAGGCAGAACCACAAACACATCAGGCCAGTCAGGAGACTTTGTGAGTATGACGAATTCGGAAATGCGAACGGGTGAGAATAGAAACACAGGGCTGAGCAACGCCAAGGCGGGTACAGATGTGGGCAATGAAAAAGGACGTCGAGGCAGAGAATCAAAGCTCGAATCTCGACCAGCACCAAGCTACCTGGGATCGACAGGGTGACACCGCCACTTGTTACGCCACTAGTAGATAACGGAAAATCAATTGAAGAAGCCTTGAACAACATAGTGGGCAGTATAGGAGAACAAAATGAACAGATGTCCATAAGAATGAGTGAACTAGAGAGAGCAGTCCACGTCGAGAGAGAAAGTCTGCGGGAAGAAATAAACCGCAATCGACCAGAAGTTGGTAGAAGCGAAAAACGCTTGAAGGAAAGAACAGATGAACAATTGGCAAAGAACTTGTCGCGAATGACAAGGGAAGCGGAGCAAAGAGAGTTAAGGTTAAGAGATGACATGGAGAAGTTGAGAATTCAACAAGAGCAGACTCTTGGTATTCTTGACACAAAGATAGATGCGATGATGGAGAGGCGAACTCAGGCTATCACGGATAGGTTGAACGGGCTACTAGGCAGCAGGAGTGGACCAGGAGATGGGGAACCGAACTCCGGAGGTACCAGCAGGGAGCCGAAGGTGAACTTTAATGACCGACAAATTAGGAGGAGGACGTATGGATCCACTAGAGGTAGGGGCAGTTCATCAGGCTATGCCACAAGGGATAATAGAACATGGGGCCAAACAGCAGAGCAAGTTCAACGGGCAACAGACAGACCTCAAACGAAAGACCGACGCAAGGCACACATGCGACTGGGAGAGGTCATTCCAGTGATAGGAGACATGCGAGCCCAGGGACGAGTCATGCAAGCCAAGGATGAAACAATCCCCGCGATTCGGACAGAAGGGAAGTACCAAATACAGTACCCTTATCAGGGGGCGATGATACTCAGGCGGGGCATACAAGAGATGCTACATCAACGGCCACAGCCTTTGAACGCATAAACAGGTCTTTGGAGACATTCCTTACGAGGTTATCCAGAACCAATGAACGCAGTGGAAGGTCCAGTTGAGTCTTTAAGAAACCAAGATGCTATGAAGACGAATCTGATGGCTGTATTGATACCTGGATAGAGGTGATGAAACTGCATTTTGAGGAAGAAGACCTGTCAGAAAGGCAAGAATGCAGTGCGCTCACCAGTAACTTGGAAGGGACAGCCCTGAACTGCGTGATGGCCAAAACGTAATACCAGCGGGTCACAGCTGAGAAAATCTTTGAAATCTTGTTAAATCGTTTTGGATCAGGGGTGCAGGGACACCAGGCAATGATGCGCTTCGAGAAACGGAGGCAACGAGAAGATGAGACAATAGACAAGTTTCTACACAATTTGGAGATGCTAAGAAGGAGCAGCCAACCGGGTGAGTCGATTAGGAGGATGAACCTGGCAGTATCCTCAAAATTCATCGATGGTGTGAAGAATGATGAACTTCGAACAATGTTAGCAACACATTACACACCACTATCAACCAATGCACCAACACCAGAGGAGTTGAGGCTCAAGTCAAAAGAATATTTTTTATTGAAACCTCCTTCGAGATCTGGATATACAAGAACAATTACTATGCTTTGGTCTCGAGAAAATGACCATGAGGACTTCATGAGAGGAGTAATTGGGAAATCGGCCCGAGGGCTTTCTTTTGTAACTTGGAAGGTCACTTTAAATCAGATTGTACGCAATTCTGGGCTGCTGTAGCAGACATAAAGCATCCAAGGCATGAGAAACCTTTATCGGGAGTGAAAACCAGCAAGGCTCGCCTTTTGAGTGAAACGGAGGCGCGCAGAAAAGAAAAACCGCAAGAGCTGGCTACGAAGAAAATGCAAGCGGTAACAGAAGAGACATGTGAACCGGAACCGGTGACTGTGGCGGACGACTTCAAGATTGATTATAGGACAGCCCCGAGGGATGCTCTAAATAGAGTCCAGCAGGAACTCGTAACGAACGAGATCGAACAAAAAGTGACGCTCGAATCGGAAAATGAGAAACAACAGGAGAAGCTGAATACCTTCGAGGCATCAGAAATCGAGGAAAAAAAAGCGCCAAATAGTTTGAGCATGAAACGTAAGGTGATCTCCGGGCAGAGTTTCGGTATGGTGCTACAAGGAAGCAAAATACTGTCAATAATCTCGGTAGCGGGACACCAGGTAATCAGAAATCTGAGTGAACCATCAGAGTTCACTTTGATGCATTTAGACACATACGCAGATTATCTGAGGCAGGTGGAGCCACGCACTGAGTCAAGAGCTGTGCGAGCACTACTAACAATGGGTGGCCCTCGCTTAAAGAAGCTTCATGGGCGCTACGTGGAAGTCTATGGACCGTATCAAGTGATAATGAACGTAGATGGAATCAGTATCTACACTAGGACATATGTGACAACAGACAGTGACCAGATAGGGCAGATCTATTAGGGTGAAGAGGAAATCAAAGTCCGTAGGATAGGCCATGACGCCATGATGGAGCAAGACGCAGTTCACAATGGATACGAAGCAGATGTGACTGCACATCTGCTTGACACCACCGGAAAAAAATCGGAGTCACAGGGCTTCTGGACACAGGAGCGATAGTGAACGTGATGCCGATAAAAACTTGGGAAAGAATGGGTTTCACGAGGGATTATCTAGTTCCGACGAATCTCCGACTGGCAGCAGCCAATCGAGGAGCGATTTACGTAGCCTGAAGAACACCAATAACGGTTCTCCACATGGGAGGACGGGATCTTTGGATAAGCTTCATGGTAGTAGAGAATCTAGACGACGCCGACCAATTCATTTTGGGCAGAGATTTTGTCAGGAATTTTGACGTAATGATTGACTTGAACAACGGTCTAACAAGTATTAGAAACCCGGATCGGAAGTATGTTGAGAAACCAATTAATAGAATTATAACAGACGAAAACAAGGTACCAATTTTTTTAGATAGAAAAGTAAAAACACAGCCCGGACCGGCCGTGGTGGCAATTTTTAGAATGAGGAATTTGAATTCGTTAAATGATAGTAACAGGTATATTTGGTACCGAATCCAAATAATCAAAGTTCGGTGATTTTAGGCCGGAGCTTCTCGGTAACTCGAAACGGACTGTGTGTCAGTGTGTTTTTGAACACATTGGTCAACACGGTTTCAATCCAGCGTGGAAAGAAACCTGGTTACGCTTTGCCGATGAGGACCGACTATAAAGAGACACAAAACTTGAAGAAACATAGTGTGAAAGACGGTCCTTTTCATGCCAATAAAGATGAAGTTTTTAAAATGATTAATGCAAAAAATCTATTCATAAACTGTTTTCAATGAAGTTCGAAACGTATGACGGCTTATGGAGCTGTTCGATTTTTCCGGAACGCCCCTCGTCATATGAACTAGAATCTGACAAACCAGTTTTGCCAGAAATAGAACACTTAAAAGGGAAAATAGGCGAGGGAGATTTCGAGTTATTGCGGGAGGTTTTAATTCGGAACGCGGATTTTCAAAACATAAGGCGGATATCGGTTGCTGTAACTTCGTCGAACACGAAATCGAACTTGAGGAAGGCGCTGTTCCCCACATAGAAGGCGCAAGACGAATGACGCCACATAAGTCGTGCCGAGCGGAGATCGAAATGTTGCTCAAATACGACATGATAGAACCCTCGAAATCACCATGGGCATGCGGGGTAGTAATGGCGAAAAAGAAAGGGGGGCAGCTTAGGTTTTGTTGTCACTTTCGCTATTTAAACGTGATGACGATAAAAGATGCGTACCCGATACCGCTAATAGACGAGCCTCTCTAAACTTGGTGATGCCAAGTTCTTCACCACACTGGACTTGGGTTCTGCCTTCTGGCAAGTCCCTCTGCGGAAGAAGGATAGAAAAAAGACCGGATTCGCGTGTGAAATGGGGTTGTACCAGTGGAGGAGGATGCCCTTCGGCTTGCGCAACGCAACGGCCACGTTTCAAAGACTGATGGCTCAGGCTTTGACCAGAGTGACGAAGAAGTACGGGAATCTTGTGATGTGTTACGTGGATGACGTAGTCGTAGCAACACCAAACCTGGGAGACCACCTTGATTGGCTCGACGAGGTCTTTGGATGCATGAAAAGAGCAGGCTTGAAATGCAAACCATCGAAATGTGAAATCCTTAGGGAGTCGATCAAGTACCGAGGAAGTTTGGTGGACAGGCATGGCGTGAGACCGTACCCGGAAGCAGTAGAGGCTGTGTTGACATGGAAGGCTCCCAGAACGGACGCACAACTCATCAGCTTCCTAGGGTTTGTCAATTATTACCGTGAGTTCATAAAAGGCTATGAAGACAAGATGTATCCAATGCAGAGGCTGATGCGCAACAAAGGAAAGAAGTTCGAATGGAACGAAGAAGCACAAGTTGCCTTCGAGAACATACAGCGGGAACTCTGCGACGCGGCCAGTGATAGGCATGCCTACAGAAAAGGGCATGTATGTTCTTGACACAGAAAGCATCGGTAGTAGACATCTCAGGAATACTGCATCAGGAGCAGGAATGGAATGGAAGAACGGTTCTCCGTCCCATTGCATATGCCAGCAAGGTGTTGAGTGACACTGAGATGAAAATGGTGCACCAAAAGCAAAAATGTTTGCAGTAGTCACATTTGTGGAAAAGTACCACGCATACTTGGGGAGTGCTCACTTTTAGTTACGCGTGGACAACAGAGCGTTATCCTGGTTGAAGACATACTCGATGGATCAGAGTTATATTGGTAGATGGATAGTAAGATTAGATGGCTACCACATGATAATCGAGCACAGGAGGCGTGACAAACACCAGAATGCTAGAATGCTGACAGCCTCAGCAAGAAAACTGAGTTCTATGAAAGATTAGAACAGAAGCAAGCCAATCAGGCAGAAATAAAGGAAGGGTTCTCGTTTCTGGACAAGGAAGCTTACGAAGCGCTTCCCTTGACGAAATGGTTGGACAAGTCTGGACATCCATTTCCAGGACATCCTGAGTTACCTGTAGAGAAAGGAGTTGAGATAAAGATTCTATCCAAGAAGCACCCGGTGCCCTTGGATCTGTTGCTGCGCTCAAACCTGGTCCAGCAGGAACTCTCTCGCATGAACATAAACATCCTCTCGTTATTGGATAAAACGGTGCAGGTCACACCGAAAGTGATGCGGATGCTAGGTGGAATGTTAGAGAGAGAAGTGACCAAAGATGACCCCGAGTGGGCAGCAGCCATGGCACCACTGACAGTCAGTGAGAAGGTGAAGATCATGCCGTCAATACGACAACACAAAGATAATTAGAGGGATTGTAGGACAATAGTTCAGCAACTAGTATCCTCGATACCCCGAGAAGTTTTAACAAGCACTTCATATAAATGGAATGAACAGGGGAACGGCATTCAAAAGAAAACCGTTACCTTTGATGACCAGCAAAAGGAAGGTGAAGAAGTTGGTCGAATCCTGGAGCAAGGAAGTTTGTCCAGGGAGACGAACGGCAAGGAGAAAGGGCGAGTTCAGGATCAAGACCTGGAGAATAAAATTTTGTCCGGGGAGTTCAGGTGGATGAGCAGAACGCGCAGAACTGACCCAGGAGAGGGTGCAGACTCCGTTACACACTCTTCAACAGATGACCATTCCCGGAACTCAGGAATTGACACCTACTCAGACAGGAACTCGAGCTCGGGATCGTAACTGTCAGAACTAGCGATCCATACACTACTAGTGGAGACTCGAGCAAGGGATCTGGATAGAGAGGTATACCAGGACCCTGACAGTGATCGCCACCTCATACCAAGCAAAAGCGTCTTTGACAACGCAGCGGATGAACTGGAAACAATAGCGGTATCGAAAAGTTCGATAAGTCTGTTGCCAGAAAAAGAGGTAGTCAGGACTGATCTTCAGCCGTTCAAACAAGAAATACAGCCGTTGGCGAAGATTTGGTGCGTTAAGATGGAAGAAGACACACACCAGCCCAATGAGCTGAATAGTCAGATGAGGGTCATGAAGACGTACTTGAAGGCGAGATACAGACTCTCGGACCTACTAAGGGCACAGAGAAATGACCGCATGACAAGCAACCTGAAGGCTGTGTTGACATGGAAGGCTCCCAGAACGGACGCACAACTCATCAGCTTCCTAGGGTTTGTCAATTATTACCGTGAGTTCATAAAAGGCTATGAAGACAAGATGTATCCAATGCAGAGGCTGATGCGCAACAAAGGAAAGAAGTTCGAATGGAACGAAGAAGCACAAGTTGCCTTCGAGAACATACAGCGGGAACTCTGCGACGCGGCCAGTGATAGGCATGCCTACAGAAAAGGGCATGTATGTTCTTGACACAGAAAGCATCGGTAGTAGACATCTCAGGAATACTGCATCAGGAGCAGGAATGGAATGGAAGAACGGTTCTCCGTCCCATTGCATATGCCAGCAAGGTGTTGAGTGACACTGAGATGAAAATGGTGCACCAAAAGCAAAAATGTTTGCAGTAGTCACATTTGTGGAAAAGTACCACGCATACTTGGGGAGTGCTCACTTTTAGTTACGCGTGGACAACAGAGCGTTATCCTGGTTGAAGACATACTCGATGGATCAGAGTTATATTGGTAGATGGATAGTAAGATTAGATGGCTACCACATGATAATCGAGCACAGGAGGCGTGACAAACACCAGAATGCTAGAATGCTGACAGCCTCAGCAAGAAAACTGAGTTCTATGAAAGATTAGAACAGAAGCAAGCCAATCAGGCAGAAATAAAGGAAGGGTTCTCGTTTCTGGACAAGGAAGCTTACGAAGCGCTTCCCTTGACGAAATGGTTGGACAAGTCTGGACATCCATTTCCAGGACATCCTGAGTTACCTGTAGAGAAAGGAGTTGAGATAAAGATTCTATCCAAGAAGCACCCGGTGCCCTTGGATCTGTTGCTGCGCTCAAACCTGGTCCAGCAGGAACTCTCTCGCATGAACATAAACATCCTCTCGTTATTGGATAAAACGGTGCAGGTCACACCGAAAGTGATGCGGATGCTAGGTGGAATGTTAGAGAGAGAAGTGACCAAAGATGACCCCGAGTGGGCAGCAGCCATGGCACCACTGACAGTCAGTGAGAAGGTGAAGATCATGCCGTCAATACGACAACACAAAGATAATTAGAGGGATTGTAGGACAATAGTTCAGCAACTAGTATCCTCGATACCCCGAGAAGTTTTAACAAGCACTTCATATAAATGGAATGAACAGGGGAACGGCATTCAAAAGAAAACCGTTACCTTTGATGACCAGCAAAAGGAAGGTGAAGAAGTTGGTCGAATCCTGGAGCAAGGAAGTTTGTCCAGGGAGACGAACGGCAAGGAGAAAGGGCGAGTTCAGGATCAAGACCTGGAGAATAAAATTTTGTCCGGGGAGTTCAGGTGGATGAGCAGAACGCGCAGAACTGACCCAGGAGAGGGTGCAGACTCCGTTACACACTCTTCAACAGATGACCATTCCCGGAACTCAGGAATTGACACCTACTCAGACAGGAACTCGAGCTCGGGATCGTAACTGTCAGAACTAGCGATCCATACACTACTAGTGGAGACTCGAGCAAGGGATCTGGATAGAGAGGTATACCAGGACCCTGACAGTGATCGCCACCTCATACCAAGCAAAAGCGTCTTTGACAACGCAGCGGATGAACTGGAAACAATAGCGGTATCGAAAAGTTCGATAAGTCTGTTGCCAGAAAAAGAGGTAGTCAGGACTGATCTTCAGCCGTTCAAACAAGAAATACAGCCGTTGGCGAAGATTTGGTGCGTTAAGATGGAAGAAGACACACACCAGCCCAATGAGCTGAATAGTCAGATGAGGGTCATGAAGACGTACTTGAAGGCGAGATACAGACTCTCGGACCTACTAAGGGCACAGAGAAATGACCGCATGACAAGCAACCTGAAAAGGTGGATAGAAAATGGTGCTCCGGACAAACGTGACCCGGAGGAAGACAGTAACCGTATTCTGAGACAGTATTTTATGCAGCAAGAGGTAATATATTTTTGAACAAGGACGGCATTGTGGCTTGCAAGAGAAGAGATGAACACAAAGTCCTATACAAGTATAACGCGATAGTGTTGCCGCAACTCCATCAGACAGAACTCTTATTCAGGTCGCATGATCAGATGGGCCATCAGGGGATCGACAAAGTATATCGGAGGGTCCTGAAGCGCTTTGAGTGGCCTGGGATGAAAAAGGCATAAGCGAAGTGGGTAACAGCGTGTCTGTCATGCCAACAGGTAAAGGATCCAAGGAAATTGCGATTTCCTTTACAATCAATCGAGTCGTCTGATTTCAACGAGGTGGTGCAGATCACCAAAAAATACGCATGACAGACAGTGGTTATAATCAAATCTTGGTCATGATAGATCACTTCACGAAGTATGCAGAGGCCGTGCCATGCCTAACTGCCTCAGCGGAAGAGACGTGCAATCACCTGATCAATACGTGGTTAGCGAGACATGGTTGTCCGATGACGTTTCAATCGGATAATGGAACAGCTTTCGTAAGAGAACTCACGAAAGAGCTTATGAGACGCACACGGGTTGCTCAAGCTCACTCCACGGCATACCATCCCCAGACGAATGGCTTAGTGGAAAGGCTGAATCGAACGTTAGGTCGATGTTGAGGGTATAATGTTCCAGGTACATGACCGATTGGGACAGATACCTTCCACAGGATGTGGGAGCTTATAATAGCACGCAACACTCCACCACTGGAGTTAGTCCACACATGTTGCTAACCGGACACGGGAAGTCTTTGCCCTTGACTTTTTTCTACCCAGAGTATGAGGGAAAGAAAACGTCTCCACAGGTCTACGTAAGGGATGTGATTAGACAGCAAGAGTTAAACGACTTGTGTAGACGAAATACTCAGTGAGCACAGGCAAAGCAGGGGAAACGATTCAACAAGAAAGCAGCTGGAGCAAATGCTTACTCGGTAGGAGACTACGTATGTGTATTTCAGAACGTTATACCACCGAAAGGAACGAAAAAGCTCCTAAAAAGTGGAGGAGACCTTTCATGGTTACGAAAGTGCACCAGGAGGGAGGCTTTTATAGACTGCGTACTGGCCGAGCCGCCCACTATGAGAACATTAAGCCACACAACCCATCGACAGAAGACTGGTGTATACCTGCAGACATGGAAGAGGGAGACTATCTAATGACGGACCCTGCTTGTGAGGTCAACGAGAAGGGCACCAGGGAGAATGATGTAAACGAAGTCGTAGAAGAAACAAGTCCACCACTGGACCTGGATCCAAATGAGGTGATTGAAGCAGACGATGAAACCTTACCCTACGCAGAAGAGGACTGGCGAGACCCCGAAGAAATGGAGGTCCCCAAGAACTTGTAACCAGATCTCCCGTTCACGATGCAGACGCGACAGAACGACAGGACAAGATCCAAGAAGAAATATAATCCTTACGGTGACGACTTTGTAGTGTACAGGATAGATCTAAAGAAGATAGTGGAAGAAGTGGTGGGTCTAGAAGGAATAACGGTGTCGCAAGACATCGATATAGTAGATGACCACGACCAGGAATGGATCGAGGACCGGTCGAATCCCGAAGTAGAATTCGACGACGAGCAACAGCAATCCTATGAACTAGATTTGACGAATCTGCGTGTCTTGAGTGGCTGAACGAAATGACGTCGGACCCCAAGGAGACCAAAGTCACGATTCAGGATGTAGATCGTGAAAACATGAAATATACAAAAACCGAACGAGAGGATCCTTCCTGGACTGCCCAGGTAGGGCGATTACTCATTCCGGCTTCCAACCTCGACTTGATATCCGGTATGCGATCGACAGGGACGTCGGTGGATATTTTTGTCCGGGGAGTGGGGGTAGGACATACCCACACTGAAAATTTATTAAAGAAAAAATTGAGAATAGCAAGAGAGACATGAGATTTAGAAGCAGGAACAGGCGGAAAATAAACGAAACCAGACATAGGGAGGGTAGTTGAGTCATATTTTATTTTACTAAATGAATATTCAAGTAGCATAATACTAACAGATAGCGATTTCATACTCACAAATAGAACATATGCGATAGCAATCACAGCAGACAAGAGTTTTAGGACAGCGTTAGCAGCAGATTTTAAAAGAGAAAATAAAAACATAAAACTACATTGGAAGCAAAGACCAGGAATATGGGGCGTAGCAGCCTTGCCTCCGGCGGCGTCACAGATACCGGGAAAGTAATTATGCTTTTTGGTGACGAGGGCGACGGAGAAGCGGCACGAAGACCCAGAAAAAATAGTCTTGTCTTTGACGAGATTGAGGGACTTCCTTGTGGAAAGGGAAGTGAAGGAGCTTTCGCATCCAGTGTACGATCCGAACAGAGGAAGACTGCATCCACGGGAACTGTACGCGCTGATACACGTTATCTTCTCTGATACTATAATACAAGTATACTTGCATAAGAAATATAACTTAGGTATAGGCTGAGTTCAGATGGCATGCAAGAGGGTGTCAGACTAAAATATATGTACTGTGTGATATGTGTGTTATGTTATGTTATGTGTTATGTTATTAAGACCCTGGGTAAGAAGGAGTTAGTGACCATGAACAACTGAATGACGATCTTAGGATTAGATCCAAAATTTGGACTGTCCAGTTTTAGGTCGATTTCCAAAAGTTTAGAGACTGATTG